GGTCCCGTTCCGGCTGTCCCACCGCCCGTGCAGTGCCCCTGCCCCAGCAGCCCCGCGACACTGAAGGGTCCCACCAGTTATGTGGAACAGAGCTGAGCGCGGGGTCTGGCCGAGCCTGCAGGAGGGCAGCCCACCGGGCGGGAGGTGCCCCCCCGCTTTATTGTCCTGCGTGTCTGGGCTCCCCCTGTCAGGCAGCTGATGTGTATTGGGGCAGGAGAAGGGCCCGGCGCAGAGTTCCCTGCCCAGAGCTCTCCCCTCGCAGCCCCAGCCCTGCGAAGCCGCGCTCCCGAGGTGCCCTGCCCTCAGCGCAGCGGTGCAGCTTTATCGTCGCCCTCCGCGCTTTGATGTTTTCCTGGAATCTCAGCCTTTATTTTTCCACCCCGCTCTCGTTCTTCCCAGGGACCGGCGGCTTCCAGCGAGGGTGACGGATGCAGGGGGCTGGGGAGGGCGAGGGGGTCCCGGGGAGGGGGGGTGAGGAGCTGGGGAGCGAGGAAGAGTGAAACCTCCCGGGTTCACTGCCGGTGTGAGAGCAGTTGTCGAGAGGGAGTAGGAAACCTGCGGAGGAAGGGGCAAAAAAAAAAAAACAAATTAAGTTTATTTCATCAAGAGCCCAGATCTGGAGATGGCTGCGCGCATCTGCCCCCCGCCAGGGGTGAGCCCCACACCTCCCTCGCCCACCCTTGACAGCTCCTGCAAATGACCCTCTAATGACGGGACGGTCCCAGTGTGAAACGCTGTCGGAATATGTAAGGGAGGGTCTGCGCGGGGGGAACCAGACGCGCTTTGTTTACCCGCCGGTTGGGATGTGGATTGGGGATAATCAGGCCGGGCCGGCGATGTGGAGTGGCGGCTGCTGGTCCCAGGAGGGGCGGGATGGGGATGGCCACCCGGGCCACCCGGGCACCCGCGGCCAGCCCCAGCTTGTCCCCTCCACTGCTTGTCCCCTCTGCGGCCGGGGGCCAGCGGTGGGCTCCCACGCGTGAGCCGTGTCCCCCTCCGCGGCCGTGGGAAGGGGCAGCCCTGAGCCGGGGACGGCCTGGACCCACGGACAGGGCTGCAGTGGGGTGACGAGGACGGACCCTCACTGCCCCAGGAGGGGCGTCCCCCCCTCAGGGCTGGGAGGCAGCGGGGCATGGCCACCCCGGGGGCACTCGAGACCCCGAGCATCGCATGGGGCTCCCAGCCCCGTCACCCCTTCGGGTGGGTGACCCGGAGGAGAGCTGCCTGTGCTGGCCACCGCGCTTGGCTTGGAATCATCGGTATTAGAGAATATGGCCCTTCCCCTGATCTCCACGGGGTAAATAAAGGTGGAAAATCCCCTTGGCCCTTCTCAAAGGCTGCAGGTGCTTCCCCGCTCGCTCTTGAGCAACCCCCCATCAGGGTGGGAACAGCCCCTCCGTTGTGTCACCCCAATTTCGCTGTTCACAGAGCTGTTGAGCGCCTTTTGCATCGTTCCGGGGGACCCCCTTGCTTCTGGCAAGTTACGGTGACAGCCCACCCTCTCTGGGTGTTACTGCCTGGCTGTGCCGCTTTCGCTGGCAAACCATATGGCAAAATCGGTGACGCTGGGCGGTAACGGAGCTCCGGGCAGGCTGCAGGCGGGTCGCGGGGCAGGGAGAGCCCGTGGGTGCAGCAGATGCACAGAGGAATGGGGGGAATCGCACCCTGAGAGACCGTTCTATGGCAAAAATGGGCCGTGGAAATCAGCAGAATCTACCAGGCATTTTTAATATATATAATTTATTGATGAATTATACAGCCATGAGCCCCATCCAGTGAAAAGCTTTAGGCAAAGCTGTGGTTTTGCAGAGGAAAGCAGTGTGTGAGCCAAGACGTTCAGGGCAGGTAGGAGGGCTGGGGGGGAGCTCAAACCCACCGACACCAACCGTGGGGCCGCCTTATTACCAGGGGCACCTCGCTTGCCCGTGTAAACCCTCTCCGGCTCTTGGTGAGCAGATGATGCTTTGGAGAGGGATGCCGGAGCCCCAGCTCCATCTTTTGCATCACTCCCTGTGCGGTCCTGGGCGAGAAGCATACACGGTGGAGGCAGCTGCCTCCCTGCCTGCTGCCAGCCAGCTCCTCCTGCATCCGTCCCTGCCGGGGCTGCGCTCAGCCCGGATGGTTCAGGGCAGGCGCAGGCTGAGATGAACCCCTGCCTGCTGCTGCCCATCTGGACACTGGGCTAATACATTAACTCAGCTTAACTGTAATAGAAATCTGATAGTTTTAATAGAAATATAATAGCAGTCTTAAGGGAACCTTGGGGGAGTTTGAAAATCCCGCCGGTGCAGATGCTCAGCGTGGGCGGACACCGGTGCTGCAGTGTCTGGCCGAGAGCCCGTAGCAATACCTATTGCGGGCGAAAGGAGCATCGCCATGGGCAGCGTGTCGTGGCAGGGAGCGATGCAGCTGCGGATCCCGCCCCCGGC